GGCCGCTACGCTGCGGGGCACCACCCCAACCAGCTCCACCCCCTCCGCCACCGCTGCCTCCACCTCCACCACCACCGCTGCCTCCGCTCCCACCGCTGCCGCCACCACCGCCTCCTCCTCCGCTGCTGCCACCGCCACCACCGCCCCCGCCACCACTCCCACCGCCACCCCCACTCCCTCCTCCGCCTCCACCGCCTCCTCCACCGCCCCCGCCAGCTCCACCCGCGCCCTTGCCCCCCTTGCCCCTGCCAGGGCGGCGTCTCCCGCTAGGGGCAGACGCCGCGCAGACCGACTCAAGACCAAGCAGGTCGGCAGCAGCAGCAGAGGCAACAGAGGGCAGCAGGGGGGAAGGAGAACACCCCTCAAAGATGGGGGTGCGAGGGTCACCACGAGAGGCTCCTACAGCGACGATGCTCTTCTCCGCCGCCAGGAGGGACTTCTCGAGGAGGTCGACAGTGAGAGTGGTGGGACAGACCGAGAGGTAGTGGTCCCTGACTACGCGAAGGGAGTCAGGGAGGCGTGTGACTATGTAATAGAGAGTGATGTACATGGGGGGGGGGTTCTTGGCGCAGAACTCAGCAGGAAGGGCGGCGCGGTAGCGAGTGTCACTAGTGCGGAGGTGCGTAATGAGGTCAGCGACAGTGGGAAAGGCAGTAAGGTCAGGAAAGAGGTACGGTAGCATGAGGCGACTCAGGGCAGCAGTGGCAGGGGAAGAGTAGCGCGCAACTACAGCGTCGTACAAGGTCTGAGCACTCTTGTACTGACTAAAGTGCGCGCGCTCAGTGGTAGGCAGGTGGCGACGCACAGCAAGACGTGCAGCAGCATCGCGGGTGGCCCACTGAGAGCGAACAGTGGGGTCAGCATCAGTAGCAGGGGCAGGAGAGGCGCCAGAGGTGAGGTCAAAGAGGGAAAGACCGTCCGCCCTATCGCACTGTAAGAACAGCTGCAGGTCGTCGACCCAGACCTCAAAGTCAATGGCTCGACCCTCAGCGTCAAAAGCGAGGACACTAGGGGTAGCCATGACGACGACAGACGAGCAGTGCAAGCAGTAGGGGAAGGGCACGCAGTCACAGTGGGGCTGTGCTCACCGGACAGGGCAGGTCGGGCGGCTCGGCAGTAGGGCGGCTCGGCTGCTCAGCGGCTCGGCGGCAGGGCGGCGCGGCTGCTGGGCGGCTCGGCTGTTGGGCGGCTCGGCGGCAGTGCGGCTCGGCTCCCGGGCGGCTCGGCGGCAGGGCGGCTCGGCTCCCGGGCGGCTCGGCGGCAGTGCGGCTCGGCTCCCGGGCGGCTCGGCGGCAGGGCGGCTCGGCTCCCGGCGGTGCCGCTGCTAGGCGGCTCCCGCAGGTAGGGCGGCGGTAGGGCCGCAGGTAGGGCGGCGGGCGGGCCGTAGGTAGGGCGGCGGGCGGGCCGCAGGCAGGGCGGCGGTAGGGCCGCAAGTAGGGCGGCGGGCGGGCCTCAGGTAGGGCGGCGGTAGGGCCGCAAGTAGGGCGGCGGGCGGGCCGCAGGTAGGGCGGCGGTAGGGCCGCAAGTAGGGCGGCGGGCGGGCCGCAGGTAGGGCGGCTGGCGGGCCGCAGGTAGGGCGGCGGGCGGGCCGCAGGTAGGGTGGCGGGCGGGCCGCGACGTGAGGGCGGCGGGGCCGCTGTAGTGGGGCGGCGGGGCCGCTTAGCAGAGGGCGGCGGGGCCGCGTGAGCAGGGCGGCGGGGCCGCGTGAGCAGGGCGGCGGGGCCGCGAAGCAGAGGGCGGGCGGGCCGCGACGTGAGGGCGGCGGGGCCGCTGTAGTAGGGCGGCGGGGCCGCTTAGCAGAGGGCGGCGGAGCCGCGTGAGCAGGGCGGCGGGGCCGCGAAGCAGAGGGCGGCTGGGCCGCGCGAGCAGGGCGGCGGGGCCGCGAAGGAAGGGCGGCGGGGCCGCGTTAGTAGGGCGGCGGGGCCGCGTAGGGAGGGCGGCGGGGCCGCGAGGGGCGACACGGAGGGTCGCTAAAAAAAAAAAAGGAAAACGCGCCTCGGGGCGCGCTTCGGTGGGCCCTAGAAGCAGTCCCTAGGAGGGGACCTGCTCTGATTCCATGTGGAAATGAAGAACAAGGATGGTTGAACTATGAATGAAGTGAGTACATATAGGAAACCCTAATTGGGTTGTACCCCCTATGGGATACCCCACTATAGCCTACACAACAGCATAAGCTATATAATGTTCTGACACAGTGGTACTCACCGGACACTCTGACTCTTCTTGGGCCGACGACCAGGCGACTCAGCGTTCGTCACAGGGTTACACCTTCAGTCTTGGCTCTGGTTCTGTCTCGTGGAGGTCCACTCGTTCTTCGTCTGTGCTTGGCTCCAGCTGCGAGGCCGAGATCTACGCTGGGGCCATGGCTGCACAGGAGCTACGTTGGCTGACCTACCTGCTGACCGACTTGGGGGAGCGGCCTCGTTCTCCTCCAGTTCTGTACGTCGACAACAAGGCAATGCTTGCCTTGTGTCGTGAGCAGAGACTGGAGCACAGAACGAAGCACATTGCTCTTCGCTACTTCCTTGCGCGTGAGCTGCAGCAGCGTGGTCAGCTGCGCCTTGCTTACGTGGCCTCTCGGGCCAACACTGCTGATGTCTTCACCAAGGCCCTTGGGTCTGGTGATCATAAGCGTTTCTGCACTGCTCTTGGGCTTGTGCCCACTCTGCCTCACCTGTTGGTTGCTTGACTTGCTCTTGTTGTACACTGCTATATATATTTATACCTGCATGTTTACTCCTGCTAGGTTGTGATCAGTGTACTGCCTTGCTATTAATAAATCTGCATGTGAACTGGCCTTGTGGCCGCCTGCTTGTGCTCAGATTGTGTGGTGTCCTTGAGATCCACCCTGGGCTTTGCCTTGCTTGTTCTCTTGCTTGACTGGTCTTGTGACCACTGTTTGGTTTGGCTATCCCCTACTTCACCTATGGGGGTGTGTCAAAACATATTGTTTGTTCATGTTACTCTAGGTTGTGTAGGGTTCTTTCTTTAGAGGGTACAACATCTCACTCTCGACAGTCTTGTATCCCTCTACCTTACCTAATCGACATTCCTCACCTAGCTAGTAGTTCTAACAATAAGCGCATGCGCTTATGCCCGTGACTCATTTACCGTAATCCCCCGTATATAAGACCCTAGGGTATTCTGATAATCACCCCTAAAAAGGCTGGGGGGTATAATTAAATGGTATATTTTTTAGAAGACCCGGGTCTGTTCACATTGACATTTATAAGAATGCACGATGTTGTACATTTCAGTCTCGTAAGTTCAATCGAATCGAACTTTTACAGCGTCCTGAATCAGAATCGCGCGAGGGCGTTACCCTGACTGTGCACAGAGATTTGGCACGTCACTTTGCCCGCGTGCCAGCTCATCCTGACTGGACGCGCAACAAGTGAAGCCTTCGAAAGTCAAACACATTGAAAATGGGTGTTGACTCATTTGAAATTCGAATTTCGTTACCATTTTCAATTGCATTTTTTTGTAAAATCCGCACTTCTCTAGTATTTGGGGGGTCTTATAATGTTATGAGCCATTTAGGGGGTATAACTCAGATGTACTCGAATAGAGTACCCGGGTCCGTATTATAGACCCGGGGGTCTACAACTGGGGGGGGTCCTATATACGGGGGATTACGGTATAAGCGCACCCCCCCAAAAAACACTGATTTATTATAAGCGCACCAGCGCTTATATCCGGCCCGGGGTAATACGGTATTGTGGTTAGTTAATTCATCGTCAAATTTCCCAATAACGGGCGCTGAGACCTGCCCGTTATTGCTTGTGTGTTCCCTTATCCCCACTCCGATGGGCAGATAGGGTTCGCACGAGCGGTGCCTCCAGTTTGCCCGTGAAAGAAGTGAAGTTTCGTAGTAAGGACCCCACGCACTGGTTGTGATGCGTTCTCTTACCCAAGGGCGCACAGCAAATGCTACCAGGTTCGGTACACAATAACGAAAAGAGAGGTTCGACGTGGGCTTTAAGCCCTTTTTGCGCGTTCCTTGAATATTCGTCGTTAGGGCTTAGCACGCGCCCACAGAACGATACCCATGATTCATCAGTGCACGCACGGGTTGCTGAAGACTGAAAGCTCGAAGGAAGTAATGGGAAAAATCGCAGAAGCTGATTTTTCAGGAGAACTACATAAAAAAAAAAAAAAAACACACAAAAAAAAAAAAACAAAAAAAAACAAAACAAAACAAAAAAACAAAACAAAACAAAACAAAACAAAAAAACAAAACAAAACAAAACAAAACAAAAAAAAAAACAAAACAAAACAAAACAAAACAAAACAGAAGAACCAAATGTTTTGGGAAATCAGCATTAAAATTCTGCAATGATGCAATCTGAGGTGAGCCAGTACTTGCACCCAGTCCTAAAGTGAGCCAGCCCAAAGATACCAAAAGAAAGAAAGACAACAGGGAAGGGAGGCCAGCCAAGAACTACTTTATCGACGCTCGCTTGACCTTCCCGCAGAGTGCATTAGCGGTGTTCTCGTGCCCAACCTTCGTCCGATAGCCATACGCCTGGAATTCACCTTCAGTCGCTGCAAGAATCTCAGTCATAGACCCGGCGGGTCCTTGAATCGACTGGGACATGAAACTGTAGCGCTTGTGGCGGCCTGCGTAGTCACTTGTGGTGTTGATCCACTGTAGAGGCGAGGATTGGGAATCTTCAGTGCACGACTTCACGTGGCTGAAAGCCGGTTCCTTCCCCCCCGATTTGAGGTTGAAGACTTTGATAGTGGTTTGGGAATAGTAAGTTGTTGAAGAGTACCTGCAAGCAGGGCACGAATGGAGAGGGCTTTTTAGTCGACTCAAAAGTCACGGCACAGGAAACAAAAAAAAAGGGGAATAGAATGGTGTTGCTGAGTAGCGGTTTCTAGTTGAAAGAAGACCCTCAAGCAAGGAAGAGACGGAAATGGTGCGGCGGTGGATGCATGAAACAATAGCACCAGCAGATGGGAAATTTTCCCTGGAACAAACAATTACAAGGACGCACCTCACTATCTTTATGGCATATTTTCCCGCGGCACCTCTGTCACCAATCACCTTCCCTTTGAGTTTCGTGGGATTCAATTTTGCCACGTACTTCCCTGGCAGCGGGATTGGCAGGGAGAGGGATGCATAGGAAAGGACGCGGAAGGGCAAGAACAGTTGAGAAGGTAATAATAGCCTCACGGCATGAGACGCCCTGATGGGTCCACTTTTGGAAAGTCTCAAAAAGCATGAGACGCCGTAATGGGTCCACTTTTAAGAATCCCCACAGTAATGACAGAACCGCACGAAACGAATCATAGTAGCTGACAATTGTACAGGACACTCGGGTTGTACGGTGATATGCAGAAAATAAATGGGGTCACGGTGGTACTAGGCATGACAGCAGCGTGTGTTTTTTGAAAATTCTCAAAAAAGCACCTGCTAAGCTTCAGAGGAGGAGGTGATAGTACTATACCGGAAATGGTAGGGGAAGTGGTAGTACCGCCAGTGTACTACTCAGCGAACAAGAGGCAAAGAGCGCTGCGAACACTTACGGACTGTTTTTCCCTTTCCACGCCAAAGGAGTGGCTTGAGTTTTGAGACGTCTCAAAAGAGCGGTTGAGACACAAACTTGAGTGTCGGGGGTGACTTACAAACTTCCAAGCTAACTGTTTGACCTGAGGCGGCATATGCCGGGGTTGAAACCGATCAATATAGAGATTGTGGGTAGAGAGATGAAATTTTGAGACGTCTCAAAAGAGCGGTGCAGACACTTACTGACTGTTCTTGGCTTCCCGGACTTGGCCGGAAAGGCCGGCTTAGTGGCAGACGCCGCCGGGGTTGGGGGTGAGTTGGATCCCCCCACAATTTTTGAGACCCCGCCGTGGCTTGAACTTGAAGAACCCGCGAGGAACGGCGGGAAGATTGGGGCAGACGACTCGGAGACGGCAGTGAGGAACGCCGCACCTGACGGGGGACAGGCGCGCACGAGGGAGCATTATGACAAGGGGCGCAGGGAAGGCGCATCACGAAGGGCGCACGAGGGAGCAATTATGACAAGGGGCGCAGGAAGGCGCATCACGAAGGGCGCAGGGAAGGCGCATCACGAAGGGCGCAGGGAAGGCGCATCACGACTCGTGAAGAAACCTGCCAAAAATCACTGCAACTTGAAAGCCACCCCGGGTGGCTTCTGACGTGGCAGCGGCGCACTCGGTGAAAAAAAGAGGCGGGGAAAAAACAAAAGAACCTTTCTTCGTTGATATGAGAGCACAGGCACTCGATTGATGAGAAAAGGAAGTAAAAGGGCAGGAGAATGGTGCTTACAGAGCAGGGCGAAGACGAGAAGTGTCGCGCGGTCCATCATGTTGGTCGTATGATACGAGGGTCTTGAAATGAAAATCTGGCGAAAGTGTAGGTCTCGAGAATAATTCTGAGGAGGAAGGGCGTAGAGCCTCTGAGATCTTGAGAATTGTTCTCAAGAGGAAGCGAGAACGAGGCGATCTGAAAATGAAAAGCTGGTGCTCCGATCGTGATGCACGGAATAAAAACACCGCTCCTCCGTCCCTCCCTCCTGCCTGAGCCTCGGAGGCTCGATCAGCCTGAGAGGGTTCTGACAGTCCCATCGTGACTGTGGGATGGGATGGGAGGCGTGTCCGCTGGTGGTAACATTATCGCCGCCCAGCTTCGCCAGTCTAGTCGCGTTGACTTTCGGAAATTCGGAAGGCGTCGAGCCAGCCTCGACTAGCGAGGCGATTCGGAGGCGTCACGAACTTGTGGACGGGGAAGGAGCGCGGCGCGGCGCGGAAGGAGGGAGGGAGGCGCGCGGCGGCGGCGCATCGGCGGTGGCGCACCTTTCCCGAGTGGATCAAACTCGAACGTCAGCTCTCGTCGCGTAGCGCGGCGCTACCCCATGTGAAGCGTTGACAATCACTTTTTGAGAGTGATACTGGGGGGAAGGAGGGAGGGAGGCGCGCAGCGCATCGGCGGTGGCGCACGTCCCGAGTGGACAAAATTCGAACGTCAGCTCGTCGTGTAGCGCTACCCCGTGGTAAGCGTTGACAATCACTTTTGAGAGATTGACGATATCGTGGAGCGCAGCGTTGACAACTACTTTCGAGAGAGTGATATCGTGTAGCGCTAGTGTGAAGCGTTTGACAACTACTTTTGAGAGTGATACGTATCGCGTAGCGCTACCCCGTGGTAAGCGTTACAGTCACTTTCGAGAGAGTGATATCGTGTAGAGCGTTGACAACTACTTTTGAGAGAGTGGTATCGCGTAGCGCGACCCCGTGTAACGCGTTGACAATAACTTTCGAGAGAGTGATATCTCGTCTCGTAGCGCTACTACCCCGCGGGCGGGGCGGCGCCACGGTGGCGCCCCTAGTAGTACAGTACTATTCATAGATAAATCTGTTGTATGGGCCGAGCGAGAGATTCACCTCCCCTCACCCTCAGCTCCGAACCTGGAGGTATGGCCAGGGCTTCGAGGACAAGAGGAACAAGAGGTGCTTCTCTTCAGCAAATGCCACTCGTGAACCCTCCCAGTGCAAAAATGGAGGGGCTGAGTCCTCTCTAAGGGCGTTTTGGTGGTTTCACTTCACACCCCTGTAACAAATTCCCATCTGAGCGGGTGACAACAGTAAATCCGAACCCAAACACGTGTCGCGTCCTGGAAGGTCTTCGCGGACCCAGCATCCCGCCCTGACCACACACCAGCTCCACGCGGACACAGCAGCCCGCCCTGACCCTTCGGCGCCTGTTGTCCTCTTTGGCGCACTATAGCCAGCTCCAATTCGAGCAGCTAGTGTATACAGTTGCAGGCTTGAGAAAACTTAGGAGTTTGTAACTTTCACTAGTGCGATTGTGTTATGAGTTGTAATAAAAAGAGCGCGAGGAAGTCAATTATCGAGAAGTGATTACCACCACTGACAATGAAGTGAGACCTAGAAAAACGTATGAGGGTCCTAGCTAGGCGGGGACCTCGGATGGCAATTTGGGTGCTGGTCTAGGCCCTAGGGGCCCCAGACTCTGGAGCTACCATGTCGGAAGGCGACGCGGGTCAGCTTCGGCGGGAGAGAAAATCGTGTAGTAACGAGTGCTCCTGAAGCGAGTCTGGCAGGTGTGACCCACGTGCCGTCTTCAGTAGTCCGGTCAAACCACCGAGGTAACAAGTTGATTTGGTTTCTTTTGTGATCAGTCGTACGCGACGATAGAAAGACAAAAGAGGGAAGGGCAGCCAGCCAACTACTATCCCTTCACTTTCTTGGACTTCCCACAGAGTGCATAAACGTTGTTCGCGTGCCCAACCTGCGTGTAGTCACCCAACAGCTCGAACGCCTTTTCAGTCTGTTTACGTAGCTCAGCTAGAGACTTGGGTCCGTCAGTATATGTGAACACGAAGCTGTAACGCTTGAGGCGGCCTATTCTGTCACTTGTGATGTTGGTCCACTGTGCACTGATGTCTTGGGATACTCCAGTGCAGGCCGTTGCAACACGTATGTTCGGTTCTTTTCCTCCCGATTTGATGTTTAAGACGGAAATAACGCTTTTGGAATAGTATGTTGTTGCTGAGTACCTGCAAGCCAGGGGGGGAGAGGGGAGAGGGGGACGGAACGAAGGGGGGAGGGGGGAAATGGAGACAACAGTTTCGAAATAGTATGTTGTTGCAGAGTACCTGCAGCACGCAAGGCACAGATGGAGACTACGTAATCACTTTTGAAAAATGAGGTGACTTTTGAGTCGACTCAAAAGTCACCTCGACGCAAGCAAGGCACAGATGAAGACTATGTAATCACTCTTGAGAAATGTAAAGCATACGCATGGGGGAGAGGAGGGGATGGAAGGGGGGAGTGGGGGAGAGGGGGCGGGCGAGGGTTTTAAGGGGGGGAAATGGGGAAGTGGGTGGGGATGGGCGCTACCCGGCTCAGTCGGGGGCTTTAACCAGTCCCTAGATATGTCACGGAGAAATGGCACCAGAAGTTGGAATTATTTCCGTGGAACAACCACACAGCGACACATCTCACTGTCTTTCTGACACATTTCACCGAGGCACCTTCTGAGACGTCTCAAAACAAGATGGAAATATTTCCGTGGAACAATCACACAGCGACGCACCTCACTATCTTTGTGACATATTTCCCCGAGGCTCCTTTATCGCCGATCACCTTCCCATTGAGTGTAGAGGGACGGAATTTCGCCACGTACTTCACTGGCAACGGGATTGGCCGGGCGGGAGAGGGGCACATGGAAAGTATAGAGAGACGTCTCAAAACTCGTGTAGAGGGACGGAATTTTGTCAAGTAATTCACTGGCAACGGGATTGGCCGGGCGGGAGAGGGGCGGGCGCATGTGAAAGGCCGCGGAAGGGCAAGATGCCGGGGTTGGAACGATCAATATAAAAGTTGCTGTAGAGAGAAGACTTTTGAGATGTATCAAAAGGGCGCTGCGGGCACTTACAGACTGTTTTCCCTTTCCACACCATCGGCTTGGCCGCTTGAGCGGCAGGAGGAGGAGGAGTACTAGCAGTGACCAAGAGGCAAAGAGCGCTGCGGGCACTTACAGACTGTTTTTCCTTTCCACACCATCGGCTTGGCCGCTTGAGCGGCAGACGCCGCCGGGTTTGAAACACCGCCGTGTGCCAGGAACGGCGGGAAGATTGAGGCAGACGCGCCTGCAGCGAGGAACGCCGCACCTGACGGGGAACGCAACGCAGAGGAGCAGAGCAGAGCAGAGCAGGAGAGAGCATCACGAGTTTTGAGGCGCCTCAAATGAAGCTCGTGCGAGGAACGGCGGGAAGGCTGAGGCAGACGCGACGGCCGTGAAGAACGCCGCACCTGACGGGGAGAGCAGCGCAGGAGGGAGCATGATGAGGAGCGCACGGGGGAGCATCATGCGGGGCGACCGGACACAGACGAAACCTGCCAGAACTCATGGCAAAGCCGCACGAGGGTGTTTTCGAGAATTCTCAAAAACTCCCTGCCAGAACTCATGGCAAAGCCGTGCCAGGGTGTTTTCGAGAATTCTCAAAAACTCCCTGCCAGAACTCATGGCAAAGCCGCGCGCCAGCCCTGGTTGATTCCTGACGTGGACTCACGGCGGCGGCGCACTCGCTACCACGGCGGCGGAGTAGGAGCGTGAAAGGGCACTCGATCGCTGCGTCGTTTCGTTTCCACGGGTAGGAGCAAAAGCAGTAAAAGGGCACTCGATCGATGATGGGTCGAGGAGAGAAGTGCTTACAGGAGAGCAGGGCGAAGACGAGAGGGGAGTAGGAGAGCAAAGGCACTCCATTGATGAGTCGTTTCCACAGGTAAGAGAAAATACAGTAAAAGGGCACTCGAGCGATGATGGGTCGAGGAGAGAAGTGCTTACAGGAGAGCAGGGCGAAGACGAGAGGTGTCGCGCGCTCCATGCTGTTCGTAGAGGCCTTGAAACGAAAAACTGGCAAACGTGGAGGTCTCGAGAATTATTCTGAAGACTATAGGCGAACGTGCCGATCTGAAATGAAAGATGGTGCTCGTGTGATGCAGGCAATATGAAAGCTGCTCCGTCCCTCCAGCCTCCTGTGATGCTCACCACTCGCCTCGCCAGCCTGAGAGGGTTCTGTATTGGGATGGGAGGCGAGAGCGCTGGTAACATGATGGCCCAGCTTCGGCAGTTCAGGCGCGATAGTTTTCGGATGGCATCATGCCAGCCTCGATTAGCGAGGCGATTCGGAGATGTCACGTCACGCACGAACTTGTGGACGGGGAAGGAGCGCAGCGCGGCAGGGAAGGGAGGGAGGGAGGCGCAAGGCGGCGCAGCGGCGGTGACACACCGTCCGTCCCGAGTAAATAAAATTCGAACGTCAACTCGACTCTTGTCGCGTAGCGCTACCCCGTCGGAAGCGTTGACAAACAATTTTGCGAACTCTCAACTCAAACCTGATTTCGAGTGACAGCGCTACCCCGTGGGGAGCGTTACTACGCGACAAGAGCTGAAACGGAAGGGGCGCCAGAGCTGACGCGGACGGGGCGCCACGCTGCATGTGGCGCCCCTTAGTACTGTACTATCATCAGTCTGGTGAATGGTGAGGGCTTCGACTCGACACCGGCCCCTTAGTACTGTACTTATCATCAGCCTGGCGAATGGTGAGGGCTTCGACTGGAGGCCCTGGACTGGACAGCGTGATCTGGGGCATGCGAGGCACAAGGGGTGCTTCTCTCCGGCAAATGCGGCGAGGGGGTGCTGTGCCGTGCCGTGCCACTCGGTGAACCCTCCCCAGTGCAAAGACCGAGGGTCTGAGCCGAGCCCTCTCAGACCCTTGGGCGTCTGTTGTCCTCTTTGACGCACTATAGCCAGCTCCAAGTTTCGAGCATCTAGTGTTTACAGGGTTGAGGAAAGTTAGGAGTTTGTAACTTTTACTAGTGCGATTATTATTTGTTATGAGTTGTAATAATATGAGGGTCCTAGTTAGGCGGGGACTTCGGATGGCAACTTGGGTGCTGGTCTGGGCCCCAGGGGCCCCAGACTTTGGAGCTACCACGACGGAAGGCGACGTGTGTCAGCTTCGGGGGGCGAGGTCCGACCCTTTTTTTTCCCAAATGTTGGAGTTGTATCCGTCGTAGCGTGGATTCACTAAGGTATAGGAGATTCCTTACAATACCCACCCTCTCCTCCCCCCCCCCCTCTCCCCCCCCTCCCCCTCCCCCCCCCCTCCTCCCTTCCCCCCTCTCCTCCCCCAGGGTTGCGTCCTCTCCTTATATGGTCAACATCAGGTACGCGCCGGCGGGAGAGATAATCGTGTAGTACCGAGTGCCCCTGAAGCGAGTCAGGCAGGTGTGACCCACGTCGTGTCGTCCTCGGTGGTCCGGTCAAGCCACCGAGGTAACAAATCGACGTGGCGTTCGGTCGTCATCAGTCGTACGCAATGATAGAAAGACAAAAGAGGGAAGTTTTTTGAGTCGGCTCAAAAGTCACCTCGTATGCGACGATAGAAAGACAAAGAGGGAAGGGAGGCCAGCCAACTACTACCCCTTCACTTTCTTGGCCTTCCCACAAAGTGCATTTTTTAGGCGCCTCAGAAGGGAGGGGCGGCCAGCCAACTACTATCCTTTGACTTTCTTGGCCTTCCCACAGAGTGCAGGCGCGTTGTTCTCGTGCCCAACCCTCGTGTAATAGCCAAACGCTCTGAATCCATCGTCGATCGATTTACGTAGCTGAGCTAGAGATCCAAGTCCTAGAATTGATGTGGACAGGAAACTGTAGCGCTTGAGGCGGCCAGTTTTGTCACTTGTGATGTTGGTCCACTGTGCAGGACCGGTTAGGGAGGATGCTCCAGTGCAGGCCTTTGCGCCGCTTAGGATAGGTTTTTTTCCTCCCGATTTGATTTTTAAGACGGATAAAAAAGTCTTCATATAATAAGTTGTTGCTGAGTACTGTTGGGCTGAGAAAAGCCCTTAGGATCTTTCAAGGCTAAGACTCTGACAGGAATGTTGTATTGCGGAAGCGTTTAATGATAAGTTGTTGAACCACCGTGCGCTGGTATGTGAGGGCAAGATAGATTGATTATAAAGAAGTAATACAAGCTTTTATAAGATTACAAGGAATATGAAAGGATGCAATAACCGTTTTGTTGTTGCTGTTGCGGTTCGATACAGTGACGACTCGGGCAACTGCTCAATACCGAGTCAGTTGTTTGTCCTTGCTATCGCGCTGTATTTGTCGAGTCAAAGGTCGCTGACCTTTGACCTTTGCGTAACCTCCGGCTGTTACTTTTCTGTTAACCTCCTCGGTTGACTCGCCATTGCTCCGCTGTAGCTTGCCTCGTTTACGGTTCGATGTTACGACACATAGGAAGCGTTAAATTACTTGTTTCCAACACTCCCCTTCGCTTCTGGAGTCTCGTTGCTGGTGACGTGGCCTTGTCCAGTCAACAGCATGCAGTACTCGAACTTCTGCTTTCCGAGCTTCTTGGTCAAATAATCGGCTGCCATCTCGGACGTGGGGCAGTAAGATAGCTCGAGTCTCCCCTTCTCGATCTCGTCTTTCACGAAGAAGTATCGCAGGGCGATATGCTTCGTCCGGTTCGCGAACCCGTTTTTGTTCGCTATGCGAATTGCAGATTGGTTGTCGCAGAACAGAGAGAAGCTGGGTAACTGGGCCAGTTTTGCTTCTTCCAGCAGTTCGCGAAGGTACAGTCCTTTCTTGGTGGGTGAGCAGAGTGCAATATATTCTGCTTCAGCTGAAGAGAGGGCGATTAGTTCCTGTTTGCTCGACTGCCCTTCTCGTCGTCCCCTTGCGCAGCAAGGGTGATGTCACTGAGATGTTGATCGACTGGATCCGCGCAGCTCGTCTCCAGCTCAGGCAGAGCTTCGGCTCGGACTTTCCTGTTCTGCGTCTGCACTCTGACAGAGGTGGAGAGTTCTCCTCTGGCCTTCTGCGAGCCTACTGTCGTGCACGAGGCATCCGCCAGACCTTCACGCTTCCGGACTCTCCACAGCAAAATGGGATTGCTGAGCGCCGCATTGGCATGGTCATGGACGTCGCCCGTACGTCCATGATGCATGCGGCTGCCCCCCATTTTCTGTGGCCGTTTGTGGTTCGGTACGCGGCGCATCAGATCAACCTTCAGCCCAGGGTCTCCATGCCGGAGACCTCCCCAGCCTTGCTGTGGACGGGGAAGGTTGGCGATGCGTCTGCGTTCCGTGTCTGGGGATCTCGGGCGTTTGTCCGCGACTTGTCTGCGGACAAGCTGTCCCCTCGTGCTGCTCCTTGCGTCTTCCTTGGCTTCCCCCCTGACACGCCAGGGTGGCAGTTCTACCACCCCACCTCTCGCCGTGTTCTGTCCTCCCAGGACGTCACGTTTGACGAGTCGGTCCCCTACTACCGCCTCTTCCCCTACCGCACTCCGTCCCTCCCCCCGCCACCGCTCTTCCTTGTGCCAGGTCCCCCCCCGGTAGACCCCCTCCCCCCTCAGGGTCCTGCCCCTTCAGGTGTGTCCCAGGTAGACGCAGTCGAGCCTGTCGAGGTTACTGGTGACTCTGGTGCTGCTGAGGGTGCTGAGCCTGGGGGTGCTGACTCTGGGGGTGCTGAGCGTGTGGGTGCTACGCCTGGGGGTGCTGAGCCTGAGGGTGCTACTACTGGGGGTGCTGAGCCTGGGGGTGCTACTACTGGGGGTGCTGAGCCTGGGGGTGCTGAGCCTAGGGGTGCTGAGCCTGGGGGTGCTACGCCTGGAGGTGCTGAGCCTGGGGGTGCGGAGCCTGAGGGAGCTGAGCCTGCTCGTGTGGCGTCTGGCGGTGCTGAGCCTGGAGGTTCTCCGGGTGCTTCGTCTCGGCGGGAGCCACTCTCTCCACAGGAGCTGCGCGAGTGGTTTGCCCGGCGCTGGAGGCGTGCTGCTGGAGCTGGAGGTTCTTCGGCTGCTGAGGGTGCTGGTGCCGCGGGTCCCGGAGGTGCTCGTACTGGGAGTCCTGGAGCTGCTGGGCCTGCGGGTACGACTGGAGCTGGAGCTGCTGAGGGTGTTGACGCTGAGGCTACTGCTGTCGGTCGTGGAGGCGGTCCTGCTGGGGGTGCTACTGGTGCTGCTGGAGGTACTGGAGCTGGAGGTGCTGCTGGCGCTGGTGCTGCCGCTGGGGGTACTGGTGCTGTCCCTGCTGTGTCTGGAGTCGCCGCGCGGCCTCGGCCGTACTTCGTTCCGCTCCTTCAGCAGGTTCTTGG